TTATATGAATATTTTTGAATATTTTGTATTTTTCAATTATTTTTGAAATTAACGATTTTTATGTTACTACTATAACAATATCTTACTCATCTTATTTTAATAGTTTATTTTTTTCCTTTTCAATTTTTATATAAATATCTCTCTTATCCCATTTTTCCACTTTTATCTTTTAACACTCACATTCTATCTTATTCTTATTTCTCATCAAAAACTCTTATATTCTTATTTCTTATTTTATTTTTCCTTTATTATGTCTTTACCCACTTGGATGTCATCTCTTATGAAAAAATGTTTTGAAACAATGACAGAAGAACTATTACTTTATAATTTCAAAGCAATCCTGACTTTTACAATCTATAAAGTAACCATTAATGATGCTGATACCCAAGATTAATACTTTATATCTGCTAATAAGTTATCTTAAAACTCTAATATAATCAATAGATTTCTGGTTGATGATCCAGAACTTTTTGAACTACCAGTTGAAAAAGCTAAAAAACCAGTAGTTAATCTCACTACTCTTTTAGAAGAACCATCCGTCAATGAATCAATATTTATACTCAATTCCATATTTGATGAAATTAAACCAGAAGATCTAATTAATCTAGAAAAACTATTTGGATCACTTATTATAACTGATAAACCAACAAATAACGATAATGGAGAAAGATCTTTCTCTTTATCAACTCAAAAAGAAAAAGATCTCATTGAAATACCTTAAGAGAGACCTAAAGAGAAATCTTCTGACTCTGAAATTTGAAAAATCAACTTGAAAAATTACTCAGACAAGTATATACTGAAAAATTAGAGAACATAGAAAGAACAATTATTTATTATAAGATTGGAAAATTAATTAACAAATCTTCAAGAAAATACAAACTTTAACAATATAAATTGAAAGGCAAACTTAGTAAATCTCTTGGAATACATATTGGAGAGAAACCTTTTACAATCACCCAAAATATCTATAAAATATTCAATAATAAAAATCAGATTCAATAACAAAAGAATATTTTGAATATTACTCAAATTTGATGAATAAAGAATAGTGAAATTAAAGAATTCTGAAAGAATCTTTAAAATTTTGTGGAATAAAATCTTCAAAGATGAATTGAATGTTATATTTATTTTCAATAATTTTATAATTAATTAATCTTTCAAAAATAGTAGAAAATATGAAAATAATAACAAAATAACAAATTGATAAAAATAGTACATACATTTAATAATTATATAATAATTATTATTTACTTTTTCTACCTTTATTTTCTATCTTTTCTATCTTTTATATCTTATTTTACTACCTTTTCTATCTTTTATACTTTTCATTTCTATCATTTCTACTTTTTCTACCTTTATTTTCTACTTTTTTTACCTTTTATACCTTATTTATCTATCTTTTCTATCTTTTCTACTCTAATTATCTACTTTTTCTACCTTTTCTATCCTATTTATCTACCTTTTCTATCCTATTTATCTACCTTTTTTATCTTTTTTACCCTAATTATCTACCTTTTCTACCCTATTTATCTATCTTTTCTACCTTTTCTATCTTCGATATTCATCTTTTCTATCTTTACTATCCTTAATTTTTATCTTTTCTATCTTTTTCTATTTACCTTTTTTACCTTTTATATATATCTTTTTATAAGTTTATAATATAGATAGAATTAAAATATATTGACAAATTTTGTATAAATAGGAGTACTTTCTCATGTATCAATTTCATGTTTCAATACTTAAACAAATTAATAAATTTTAATCTTGTTATAATAAGTTAATAACTATCTTATTGTTATAAACTTAATATTTATCCTTATATCTTTTTCTGTCGAAACAAGTTGTCTGGCAAAAATAATTTGTTGATTGAACTTCAAATCTTGTAATTCAAGTCACTTTTCATAAATCTTGAGTGATTATTACTTTTGTCTTTGAATTTAAAAAAATAGTTAAGTATTTTTGGATAAGTATTTTGATTTGCTATAGCATTATTTTTGGTATAGTTGTGTACTGCAACTTTAAATAAGTGATATTGATTTGTATAGTTGTTCACTACAACTTTAAATAAGTGATATTGATTTGTATAATTGTGCACTGCAACTCTAAATAAGTGATATTGATTTTTATAGTTGTGCACTGCAACTCTAAATAAGTGATAATTCTTTTAGTTATTTATTTCTTTTGGTATTGAAAATACTAGAACGTATGACTACAAGTATAGAAATATCAATACTCTTTTCTTTAGTTAGCAACCCCTTTTTATCAATTACCTCTCTGAATACACTCACAACCTCTCTTTTCATCTTTGTTAGAATTATTTACTGTCGAAATTGACATAGGCTTAGATACTTATTTTTGCACTGACCAATTTTATTAATCTATTTCTCTCTCCTAACTCATATAACTCTTTTACTAATAGTGAAAAAACTCTTCATTTAAAGTAACTATAGCAATATCATTATTATTAATATGGATTATGTTTCAAGAACAAAAATTAAAGCTAGAAATTAATATATTTTTGGTATTTTATTTGATTAGTATTATTTTGTTTGTTATTGTTGAATTAGAAATTTGTTTATTGATAAGAGAAATTTTTTTGTGATTAAGAGTGGGTAATATTATGATAGGTTTATAATAATTAATAATTAATATTTCAATTTTTGTATAATTTGTTTAATTATTAATATTGATGTACTTTTTATTTTTGTAGATACATTTTTTGATAATGTGATTGATTAAGAAGCAAATTTTGCATAATTATATATTTGTGATTTTTTAATGTAGTTAACTGTTTCTTAATATAAAGTTTTATATTATGACAGCTATCATGTCAGATTCATTTTAAAAGCAATGATTAATATGCATTGACAATTGTAGTGGATGGATAATTATGAAATATAACAAGATTTGTCTTTGATTGATTGGATGAGATTATCCAGTTCAAATATTGTTGTTCTATAAGGAAAATTAATAAGCTTAACTGTATATGCATCTCTTTGTTCTATGATGAAGAGTTAATTCAAGAGTGAAAGTATTCTAATTCAATCTGTACCAAGTAAGATTGATCATTCATTAATTGTTTGTGTTGCTTGTTCTTGATTTTCATATTGAATAATGGTATATAATTACTTGATAATAATGTATTATTTTATATCAATAATATTATTAAATTTTGAGAGTGCTGTATTAATTTGTTCTTTGGTAATTTCTATTAGCACATTATATAAAGTGATAATTGTTGATGAGTCAGTTATTTTGGAGAAATGGAATTGATATTATTAATGTAGATGTTATTAATATTAATTTTTAGTGTATTATTTAGAGCTTTCATGAATAAGCATTCTAAATATATGTATTTTGTATTTTCATGACCAAAGGATTTGAATTTAATGAATTCTGATATTTGAAAAAAATGTTGATTAACATATTGAATATTAGATTTTCTGGAAGTGAGATCCATGCTTAGTATTTTTTGGTGCTAGTCACAGTTTTCCAAGTGCTAGTTTGATTAGTTAAATTATTATGATTGTGGTTGACTTGGAATGATATGGATGATTTGATATATATTTCTGAGTTATTATTATGTAATATAGAAGTTAATTTTATATGATGCTTAAGTATTGTATTAATTTCTATATTGAGTTATTGATGTATTATTATTTGTGAAGATATTTTCATTTAATTGTGTTAACTTTCATTGGTAGTATATGAGTGTACATCTTTATTATCTGTAT